CGTCACCGCCACCGAAAATCAAACATTTCTCAAAAAACCATCACAGACCTACTCCCCGGGACCAAATTTCGCGGTTTCTTTGCCCTACTCACCACAACAGACGACGATCCAATCGAAGATTGCATGAACGGATACGGTAAGCCTCCAAGCGAACGGGGACATATACGGAGGAATTCGTGGAAGAAACCAATTGTATGATCATCTTTTCTCCTTGTACTGTTGTACATATTTTTTTTCTCGATAGCCTAGGGGTTAGGCTAACGACAAATTCACATCTTTATGTTTTGATTTTCTCAATTTATCTACATTGTTGGCGTGTTTACATATGGGGAAAGGAAATGGTGGAATGGGAGTCATTCCCCATTCATGATTATTTCTCTGTTTACCAATTCAACCGGAATGCCAGTGTTGCGGGACCCATGTAAAATCAGGAGTTCAATTCTTGATATTGACGGAATTGGATTACTTACGCAGAGGTAGTATTTGGATTCCAGGGAGAAAGCATCATCCGGAATCAAAATTTTCTTCTCAAAGCACCCTTCACCTTCAGCACTCCCTTCCATCTTCTCGTTGTCCTCCGTCATCCTCTCCAACATCTCTGTGCTCCTCCGCCGCCGCCTCTTTAAGCCCTATGCATTGCCGTGTCGAAATCTTTCGATTTGGGGCTCGGCTACCGATTCTAATTCCAAAGACTACAAATTCAGACTCTTGTTAGAATTTATAGAGGATAAAGATTACAATTGGGCATCCTTAAAACACTTGAAAGATCAACCATTCAACAACATATTAGCTTGAATCATTATGCAAAGCCGCATAGGGAAGGTCAGGGCAAAGCATAATCAAATCAACCAAAAATAAAAAATTACATAGAAGGCTTACCTTGAATCCTTGATGGTGAGGTAGGGAGGGAGAGCAAAGAATGGTCGGAGTCTCAGGGAGGGTATTCACGGTCGAGCGTGAGTGAGAGGGTGAGGATGAGGTATTTTGTCAGCAGATCAGAGAACGAAGAGGACTGATCAAATTGGATTTGAAAGGACTTAAAAAGCCTTTCTCACAGAAATTAAAAATAAAATAATTTTTTTTTGTTAAAGATAAAAAAGATTAGCATATAATATAGATTATTTAGAATAGGGGCATTTTAGTAATGACATTAGTTTTCATTCCGATTCATGACAATTAGTAAACAACTTATATGGAATGAAAACTAATGTCATTACTAAAATGCCCCTATCCTCCTCAATCCAATTCATCCTCAATTCAATTGCTCTCAATTTGATTATGGATTAGTAAATGCGCCCTGTATTCTGTTTGCTTTGACTATCTCACTTTATCTCCATTGTATTGTATTTTGTTTGTTTTGCGCAGTAGAATGGTATAAGACCTTGCCCATCCTTCCAAAGTTTGGTACCTTCCTCTCTTGTGCTTTTTTCTTTATTATAATTTAGAATTACTTCTTTTTTCCTTTTTTATTATTATTTTTAATTTTCAAATCTTAGGTATATGAGTAAGAGATCATATGGAAGGAAAGCACACTATTTAGTTGTGGCTTGTGACAATTGTAACTATCTATTAAATATTGTAATTGTAGCGTTTAGTGGTTGGGTCTCAATTTTGATTTAAAAAAACAGATTTTCTGTGTTAAAAATTTTTTGTTACATGTGTAGGTATTGGTTTGACATTAACCTTGAGTTACTGACTAGATATGCATATATATTTTACTGTGCCTTGTCCTGTAATTCATTGTGTTACTACAGTTTGGTTTAATTTTCTACAAAAGCTTGTTGCCCTTGTTACTATTCTAATTATTTAGACTAACACTTGCCCAACCTATGAGCTTTCTTTGTTTTGTGCAGCTGTTGACTTTAAAAATTACAAAACCTACGTGGTGCGCAGGTTGAGTAACTAATAAGCTAACTACGTCCTTCAGTTGATGCGGGAGGTGCCAACTCGTCGGCCGAGCTCGACCGAGGAGTAAAATTTGTTGATGTTGCGTTAAGCGCGTTGCTGACTTCTTGATCTGACGACTGCGGCCGAGGAAGGAACAAGTTTTGGCCTTTGGATTCTCGAGCCTGAAGACAAGGCTGCTAGTTCTGCGAAGTTCACGAATCGTCGGTGCCGGATTTGGTCACAGTGATTATATTCGTGAGAGTATAAGCACGTCGAATCGACACCAGACTATATGGGCACAAGTACTCAAAGGAAATGTATGTCTTGATGGTGAATGTGGTTCGGCCGTCAAAATGCCGAACTCTAAAACTCACTTGTGAGTATCCAATCATAAAATCAGTTGGCGTTCAATGTGCCGAATATCGTAACTCGTAACACTTTACTTCGCCGAGAAGACTAATAAGATGACCTCTACCAATAAGGATTCGGAAACCCTTCTCGACCGAGACTTGGATAGGTAACCAGTTGGCCTTAACGTAATGCTATTTATTCAAATCGAAGGTGCTCCTTGGTCGATCGATTCTACGGCAACAGTGCTGTTTATCCAAACTGAAGATGTTTGCCGGTTGCCTTCACAGTGTTGTTTATCCAAACTAAAGATGTGTTGGTGGAAAAAGAAAAATGAAAAATCTCAAGTTGTTTGAGAGGTTTGCGCAGAGCAATTGTATGTTGAATTCGAGCTCTTGATTGTTGCATGATGTCTTGTATTTATAGCAACAAATTCTCCTTGAGATCAAGTTAAAACCATATTTGGATTAAGACTTCTTGTTCTGTTCCAACTCTACCTCGACCAATCCTACTCCTATTAGGACTTTGAACTCACCTCTTTTTGAGGCCATATTCAATGTTGGTCGAGAATCCATATTGCACTGGGACCCCTTATCGTACTAGGACTTCTTTGACCCCTCTGCTCATCCGACTATTCCTTCTTGCGATATGACTCGACCACCTTTGCTGAACGGTCCGAAACTGCCAGGCAGCCCACATAATACACTTGGAAAATCTTTGGGCCGAACCTACGCTTGGCCCAATAACATTTTGGGCCTAAACAGCAGCAAAAAGGCTAGACAGATATGACAATCAATTGAAATCGTCTTTGGAAGGTCAAGGCATAAATTGGAAAGTAGATTATCGTCAGGTCCTTCGTTCCATGACAGTTTCAACAACCAGTGGGGACCCACATATTACTAACAAGGCTTGTCAAATTCTTAAACTCTTGGCATATACTACTGTTGACCCATCATTGGTAAAGATTTTCAAAGTATTTGCAAGCTTTATGAAATGTTTTGTATGCCGCCTTGTACTTGAAATTTCCAAATATTTTCTTTTTATGTACATAAAAAAAAATAAAAAAAAAAGAGAATTTGGATTGCATTTTTTATTTTTAACCATTTTGTAACAATTATCTGATTCTTTTTGGTGCATGACAATTTGATTTCGGATATTAGAGATAGTCGATGGAAGCATGCAACATGTTAACATGTTAACATTGGATTTCATGATCTGAGCCAAAAATTAAAATTGAGAAGGTGGGTATTGAATAAGTTTCATAACATTTTTTTGTCTATCAATACGTGTTGAACAAATCTAAGTTATTAAACTTGTATGATCTAATTTTTGGACATTCTGATTCTGACCTTTTAATTTTAGCTAAACAACATCTGAGGATAATTTGTAAGAGGACTATGAGCCTTTATTTGGGTCTTATGTTTGCTACTTGATGTTCAGTTAGACCCAAATTTATGCATAATGGTGGAGATATGAAATTTGAAGTTCTTATTTTAGGTGGTTTTAATCTCACACATTTTGTGCAGAAGGTACGATTGAACTAGGAAGAACTTTCCAGGCACTCCATGAAGGTGCATGCATAAATTTATCTAATCATGTTTGTTGATCTTCCCACTGGCAAAATATTTGTGGCTTCACATTCTGTTACCTGTCCCATTTTGCTTGTTGTTTCTCTAATATTTTGCAATATAATTTGGATGCAGGAAATGGGCAAGATGACGCGGTGTAAACTTTTCCATAACGTAAGTGTTATTGTCCCTTTATCATTTTAATGCTTATGTTTTCCATTTCTCTCTCTGGTTTTCCCACCTTCTGGTGGAGGTGAACATAAATTGCCTGTTAATGAATGAATAGGCATGTACTTGCACGCTCACTGTTGTGGATACATCTGATGGATTGGAGATGCTGAGGACAATGGTGGAAGGCATCTTTCTCCATCGTGTTGATCTTGCACAGACTATGAAGATTGAATGTAAGGAATCAAACGATACTGTCGAGAAGTGTCTTGCAGAAAGTAGAATGTGGGCCTCTTTCACTGAATACTATGGTGAAGACAGGGTTGCGTTCATCTCATCCATATTCATCTTTTTCTTTTTTCTTTATTTTTTATTAAATTGAAGAATCCTTTTTTGAATAATTTTTTAGTTATGACTATGAAATAGTACTGATGCAAACTTGTTCAATGAGGTTCATAACCACCACATTTGACACAACTCTTACAGCTCTGTTTACGTCCCTTTTATGTCCCGTAGTTACTTTTGTTGTTAAATTTTCTGTGAGAACAATTCCCTGTTCTCATGCTTTCTAATAATTCATTTTGTTATAGTTATTCAATAGAACAAATGCTTTTGAATTGTGTGTTCAGCAAAAAGGTGCAAGATGCTTGGCCTATGGTGAAATCGTTTTACAGGAGAACAGCATTTCATGCGAATTGAGTGCGGTATGTCATGATTAATTCTATAAACTCGTGGTTGTGAAACCTACCCTTAATTGATCAGTTGTTTATTTGAAGTTATGCCTGTTGTTTGATGCACATGTCAACTTCTTGTGTTTCAACTGTGGGTTAGTGTAACCGTTCCATGAAAGTCTCAACAACCACAGAGATCAAGGACCGAGATCGTATTGTCAGGGCCAGGCGTCTTCTTGAACTGCTAGTAAGAACTAACGTTCCACCTTCCCTTGTACGATTATTGTCTATTTCGTGAGAACTTTTGCACCATATATATTGGACTTGTACCATTTGATTTCAGGCGATAGAAATTATGAACGGCTGTAAGTAGCATATCTTGATGAAGATTGGGCAGCATGAAGGTGGCCTATGCTCAAGGTTTGGGATCGAGAAGGTCGGTATTGAATACAGTTTTCCTAATTTGGGCTTGATCTTTATAGATGTGGTAATTTTGGATCGGTGCTACCTGGTCAATGAAGACTCAGCCAAACCTCTTAGTAACTGTTTTCTAATCTCTACTGTTGTTTGCAGGTGGAGTACGAAGATCAGCTCCGGAGATCTCTATAGAGGTGAATAAAGTGATCTAAATTATTATGGCTGACTGCTTTTTGATTTGGCTTCATATACACACATGTATGATTGTTGATGGTTTAACTCTCTTTTCTGGTTGTATGCCTAATTTTTTACAATATTCTTGATGCAGGAGTTATTGGCTTGACAGGCACCAATCTTTATCACTATGTAAGTGTTGTGATTTTGGTTAGGGTTTTCTTTATCTGGTGTTAATTCTTACCGGTGGGTGGTACTCGTAGGTGATTTATGAGTTTCATTAATGAATTTTAATCTCTCTAAATGAATAATAGGAAGACACCGTTACTCCTGTTGGGGGCGCTGTTGGTCACTCTGAGGACTTGGAGATGGCGAGGATGTTGGTGGAAGGCTTTATTGTTTATAATGTTTAGAATGATTGCGTCACAAATCTAAAGCTGATGAAGTTTGGAAAAAGAAAAGATAAAGAAGGAGAAGACGCTCTGGCAACTTGTCCAAGAAAAAAAAACAAAAACTAAAGATGCGAGGGAGTAGTTGTATTATGCTTCATGGAGTGAAGAACATGCACACGATGGGGCGGCGTCTTGATATTTTTGTAATAAATTTAAAACAATCGCACTAAACCGAACCGAACTGTTGATATTTTCCAATTGCAATTTAATTTGAGGGTGGAATCGCATCGTGCCCACCACTAAAGTTCATCTCATGGATTTTTTATGATTTATTTATGTGAAGAACATGCCCACGAGGACGGCATCTTGAAAGTCATTAATTGTGACTCGTGGTTATTTAGAGCAAACGTTGACCAAAGCCAAGACAGTTCATCCTCAATGCTCTGTTTAGTCCACATCCTTTTTTGCAATTTGAAGACCATTACATCAAAGTTTTTAACTTCTCACTCAAATAGTCGTTTTACATTGCGATTAACTGCACTTAAAATGCTACCAGGTGCAGTCAAGTTTATCGACCAATGATTATTAATCACATGATGTGTATATATCGGTAACTGTAAGATTAAAGTATCAATAGAATTGACGACACATACACATTTAGCAAAAAAAAAAAAAAAAATGTCTAATAGGCAACAAAAATATGTGCTCCTAAATCTTGATAAGCACCAAAAATGTCTGATCCCGGACAGCCAAGCCAACTGCCTTCAATTCAAAGTCTTTCCCCTTTTAATATTCTTGCAAATAGGCAGTCTCCAATCGATGGCTCCACCGACGACAGTTGGATGGTCAACACCACAGGTCATATTGTCCTTCTTGAAAAAAACTAAACAGTTGTCTGGTCTGCAAATTCGTCGAAACAAGCCTAAAGCCAAAGCCCTGTCCTGCAGTTGTTGGACAATCGCAACCTTTTCCTGAGGGATGAGAAAGATACCGACTCAGAAAACTACTTGTTACAAAGCTTTGACTACCCTTTTGATACCTTGCTTCCGGGAATGAATCTCAGGTGGGACATGAGGACCGGACTTAACTGGCATTTAACAGCATAGAAGAGTTCAGATGACCCTTCTCTGGGAGACTTTATATGGGAGACGGAGCTGCTCAACCATTATGAGCTTGTCATGTGGAAAATGGTCTAATGAGTACTTGAGAAGCAGTCAATGGAACGGCCTTTTGTTCAATGGAAAAACTTCACTTTTGTCAACAGAGAGGAGGATACATGACAATTCACATGATGAACTTGTCATTACTTAGGCAGATGACGATGATGAACCAAACTACGTTGTTTCGCCAGGAGTGGATTTAATCATAGGCAAATTAGAATTGGACACTCTAGGCAGCATTTCCGAGAAACTCTTGTGAGGGTTATGTCCACTATGGTAGCAACGACAACTGTGTTCTTAATTTATCGCCAATTTGTCAATATTTGGAGAGGTTCGTTCCTGCGTCGCTGGAGAATTAGAACTTGAAAGATTTTTCAATAGGTTACGTGAGGAGAAAGCCGTTGAGCTGCAGGAATGGTGGATTTGCTAAGTATCTGCGGTTAAGTTGGATATGACACAGAGTTGGATAAATAAAAGTAGGAATCTCGTTGAATGCAAGGCTAAATGCTTATCGAATTGTTCATGGTTTGCTTATGCATACATAGATGTTAGATGAAGAGGCAGCGGTTGCGCTATCTGGTTTGGCGACCTTGTCGATATTAAGCAAAGGCTTTTTAGCCAAAATGGCCATTGAGTTTTGCATAACACATCACTTTGGTCCCTGAGATTGTCCACTATCCATTATTTTGGTCAGTCTGTTAAAAACTCTGTTAAGTGTCCCGGAGTTCTTAGCCGAAAGTTTGGGCAATTTACAAAGCTTCGTAACTCAATCGTTTCTTAGCCAAATTCGACCCATAATATATCAAAATAAAGATAGGAAAGTGTAGAATAAGATTATACCTATTTGGAAGCCTAATAGTTGCCAGAGATGGCCGGAAAATAGCCTGAAATGTGAATAGTCCGTGGGAAAACTTGAAAACTCACTGGAAACTAGGTAAAATTTAAGCATTCATAACTTCTTCAATACTCAACGAAATTGAGTGATTCAAAAATGAAAATCATATTCTAGATGAGACAAAGAGAATGGTACCTTTTTTAATGGAAAAATCGCAGTGGTTTGGCCACAAAAAACGACTTAAAAGTGGCTGTCTTGGTCTCAAATTAGCCACTTTCGAGCCGTGTTTCGGCAAAACCACGGAAAATTATCCATCTAGAAAGGTGCCATTCTCTTCGTCTCATTGAGAAGTATGATTTTATTTCTTGAATCACTCAATTTTGTTGAGTATTGAAGAAGTTATGAACGTTTAAATTTTACCCAGTTTCCAGTTTTCCCGCGGACCTGTCACCTTTCAGGTTATTTTCTGGATATCTCCTGCAACTATTGGGCTTCAAAATTGTATAATCTTGTTCTATACTTTCCTATCTTCATTTTGATATATTATGGGTTGAAAATTGCCTAAACTTCCGACCAAGAGCTCCGGGACACTTAACAGAGTTTTTAACGGAAGAACAAAAATAATGGATGGTGGACAATCTCAATGACCATTTCTATTGATTTTCAATCTCAGGGACCAAAGTGATGTGTTATGCAAATCTCAGGAACCATTTTGGCTAAAAAGCCTTAAACAAATGCCAGGTGGTGATCAGGATGTATGCATACATAAGATATCTGCTTCAGATCTAGGTACGAATTATGTCCACTTTGTTCTTTAGGAATTTAAAGGTCCCCTTTTCAATTATATGTATAAATTGTCTGGTGTTTAACTACGTATGTTATTCCATCTCGAATAATCTATGAAGAAGAGAAAGGCGAAAAGTGGAAGATAGGAATGATACCGGCATCTGCCTTTGCTGTAATTGTTGGTATGTTCTTAGTTGGCTATTGTTATATTCAAAGATTTAGAGGCAAGAAAGATGTCAAAGGTAGAATTACTAATAGTATCACTAATTGTTACTTTCTAATGATTAATAAGGTGAAGGCATTGAAGAACAGAAGGAAGATGATCTGGAGTTACACGAATTAAATAGGATAGTATAGTTATAAGCAAGGATCAATCCCACAAAGACGAGATTAATTTAAGCAAAAATAATAACTAACAAGCATGCAAACAATGACTTTTTTTATTTTAGTTTCTTGACTCAACTTAACACTAAAGCAATAAAATAAGGATCACGATTTGATTGAAGATAAGCTAATAAGAAAAGCCAACCAAAAAAGAAAATTAGTAAAAGAAAAAAAATAAAACACAACAACCAGTAACTGCCATACTCTATGGATATGGTGAGCTTAAAGTTCATACAATTCTAAATTCGGTTCTTTGAAGTGTAGGTCCAACTCCATATGTAATTGTTTCCTTTAATTATGATTTCTCTCGATGGTTCTGGTGAGAGTCAAGTATTTTCATATGCTATTAGTCTATGGTCAAGGTCCAATTTAACATACAACAATTCGTTAAGTTCTTTGGAAACGATAAATTTACACACCATAAGTCTAGGTCTAGCTCATATGCATATGTAATCTCCAAATAGTTGTGCTTATATGTAACATAAAATGCTCACTCAAAACAAACAAATACAATTCTATCTACGGAATAATGGTATCTAAGCATCAAACCATAAATAATAAATCATAAATCATGTGTGGAGATTCAAGAACACAAATATGAAAATTGCATCAAGATAGCATTGAAATTAAGAAACTAAATCAAGTGTTTCATCCTAACCTTAGGATGATAAGTTTTGTTAGACATGAAAAAAAATATACAAAAGAAAATTATTCAACAACATAAACAAAAACCAAGTAATAAAAGCATATGGAGCGATGATGATTACAAGGCACAGCAAAAAGTGATATTGGTGAAAATTTAGACTATTAACAAATAACAAATTTAAACCTTGCAAGTACACAATAGGATAGTATAGTGAAAAGTAAAGATCGATCCGACAAAGACGAGATTAATTTAAGCAAAAATAATGACTAACAACTTAAGCATGCAAACCATGACTCTTTTTATTTTATGTTCTTGAATCAACTAAACACTAAAACAATAAAATAAGGATTGCGATTTGGTAAGAAAACCAATGAAAAAAATAGTAAAAGAAAGAAATAAAACACGACAACGAATAAGTAATTTTAACAAATTAGGGTTGTACTCTATCGATATGGTGAACCTAAGGTTTCGGAATCCACACTCAACCATACGCTTCTCAAATCAATGCACCGTTCATACAATTTTAACTTCGGTTCTTGAAGTGTACCTACATAAAGGTCTTGGTCTAACTCAACATGCAATTGTTTCTTTAGATATGATTTCTCCCAATGGTCCTGGTGAAAGTCAAGTATTTTCATATGCTACTAGCCCACTAGCCTATGGTCAGGGTCCAAATTAACATACAACAGTCCATTAAACTCTTTGGAAACGATAAACTGACATCATAAGTCTAGGCCTAGCTCATATGCATACGTAATTCCTAAATAGGGGCTTATATGTAAGGTAAGATGGTCACTCAACACAATTAAATACAATTCTATCTATGGAATATGGTATCTAAGCATCAAACCATAAATAATAAATGATAAAACACTTTAAAGATTCAAGAATACAAATATGGAAACTGCATCAAGTTTGCATTGAAATTGAGAAACTAAATCAAGTTTTGCATCCTAACCTTAGGTTGATAGGTTTAGCTAAACTAGGGGAAAAAATACAAAGGAAAATTGTTCAACAACATAAGCAAAATACCAAGTGATACAAGCATAGGAATGAGATGATGATAAGTCACGGCAAAAAGTGATGTTGGTGAAGATGAAGACATGCTTGATACTTGATGAAGAACTAATGTCTTGAACAAAGTTGAATGGAATAAAGAGCAACCTTTTGCAAGATGTAGAATTGCAGCTCTCTTCTGTTCACAATTAGCCGTCCTCTTGATTCATCATAAGTTGTTCTCAACAAATTGTTCTATTTGACGTATCTGCACAACCATATTCCCGCACTTGACATGAATTGCATCCAATTTATTCAAAAATTCTTCCTTTATGTCCTTTTGCACCAATTGACCTACAAAATACAAAAATAAAGTAAATGACTCAAAAAAGAAACCAAGCAACAAATGTGAGGAAAATAATAAAAAATATTAATCAATTAAGCTTTTATCAGCCGCATTCGGGAAGAGGAGAAATTGTTGATTTATGAATACATGCTCAACAAAAGCTTAGACTACTTCCTTTTCAAGTTGTTCCCTTAAAATCCTCTTGGAGCCTTTGGATAAATCCAAGAGGTGAAAGCAATAGCTTCATTTGTAATAGAAGTCTGAGAAAAATGTATTTGAAGACAATCCCATAAAGCATGAGACGTAGCACACCCAACAGTAAGATAAAGTAACACTCAAAAATTATACTCATGGGATAGCTAATCGCCAATTGGTCCTGTTGATACCAACTGAGATACTCAAGATTAGGAACTTTAGGAGGGGAGAGAGGATCCTTGATGAATTTGGGATTGGCAATGGTAGGTGGAAAGAAGAGGGGGATGGGAGGAGAGGAAGGAAGGGGAGGAGGTAGATGAACCATTTACTTATTTTCAGAGATCATGATCACATGAAAGGCTTTGAGTTGATGAACCCAAACAATATAATTGGCAGTAGAAAGTTTAAAGAAGAATGCCTAGTTTTGGTCAAGGAGAGAGGAAGAAGATGACGCCATTGAGAGAGGAAATTCTTGAATTGTAGACGGCAAAGGAACGTGAAAGAGGAGATAAACCCTAAGACCCAAGGAAAACATATACTTTGTAAAATTATGACTCATTGTATTAATGAGTGAAAAATATTACAATATATGGGGGTATATTAATCATTATTGAGGTAGGAATCATACAGTAATTATAAATGAAATTACATTCCTATATTACATGCTATAATCAAGTAAACGATTCCGAATTAGTTAATTATATTCTAATAGTAGGCTTATTTTAGACTATTCAAAAGGAGGTGCCCAAGATCAACTCCCCCCATTCCCTAATTGATAGGGCAATTGGGTTGACTTGCCCTTGGTCCCAAAAAAACTCCTCCAACATCCAAAAAGAAAAGGCAATTGGAAGCAGCCCATTGGGATGCCTTTGCAACTGAAGCCTAGGCTTGTGTCCCTTAGAGTGATTGAGGCCGGCGTGGATGTTTGCAAAGATTGGCAGATCCTTTGTAGTGATTAACACCGGCGTGGATGTCAGCAAAAATTGGTAGACCCCATGCCCATTTGCAGCCGAAAAGGCCCCATGCCTGAAAAGTGTTGCAAACTGTTGGATTTCCAACTATCCCTTCATCTGGACCGTTGGATTTTAACGTTAAAAAAGATTGCACTTTTTTTTGCAGCTGTCACGTGGCGAAATCATGGGTATCCGACGGTGATAATTTTGACAATCAATGGTCATGATTATTCCTACAATAAAAAATAAACAAAAATTACTAAAAATCCCAAAAGATCCCAAAATAAAAATACTTAATTGTTTTTCTATAAATACCCAACTATATTGCTCATTCTCCACACCACAACTCAATATTTATTTTAACTACATGTCCTATCTTTTCTTTTTTCATCCCAAATCCTTTTGTTACCAAGAAAAATGAATGAAAAGTCAAATTGGTCAAATGGGGAAGACGTTGCTTTGCTTCAGACTTGGGTGCTTGTTACTCATGACCTGATCATGGAAAATGAGATGATGGTGCAACACATGTAGAATAAGATTATGCACTATTTGTCGAGCCAAGTGCAAGGCACATCCCAGAATGAGCAATCCATGTCAAGTAGGTACAGGCATATGCATAAAGCTTGACAAGAAGCCCTTGGAAAAGCGGAAGGAATTTATTGAAGTGTCAATAATCTAGCCAATGTGGTAATATTATTTTATTATTAATAAATTAAAATGTAATTAATATGTCATTATTTTGACTTTTGTTTTGTAAATTTTTATATTGTTTCACAATTTTTTTCAATAACTACAAGCACAAATTTGGTTCAACCTTGATAACAAGAAATTATTCACAAGGCAAAATGTTGGAACATTGTGAAGCATACTCCGAAGTACAAATTTCTGCCTAGTGGTTCATAAGTTAAGTTGAATGGGACTCCATTGCACAAATCAACTACTAAAGAGTCACCATTGAAGACCTCATTGAATCGGTCACACAAACTGAAGAAACCTTGAGGCCTATTGGTACGTAATTAAGAAGGTGGCTAAAAAAAGATGCAATATGGAGCTAGTTCTTTGAATAATGATTATTCAAAATTAGTTGACGAAGACTTGCCAACATGCACTAAATAAGAAACGAGATAGGTTAACATATGAGTAAGACATGGCCAGAGATGAAGCAAAGGTGAGAGAAAGAGAGTTAAATAAGCAAGAAAGGCAGGAGGAGAAGGATCAGGAGATCATGTCCCAATGTCTCGACAATGAGTAACCTAATTCAAAACATTTTTTAAGAAGTGAAAAATTGTGTCATGAGAAGAATGTTATCTACGGAAGATGAGGAAGTTCCATACACTCCAAGAGAAGATAGACCGAGTTACACTGATTTTACCCTCTAGGTTAAAATTAATTAAGTTTGTTGTAATCCTATGCTTTTTTCCCTTGTATTTGAAATAGTTTATTGGAAATAGACTTTATTGAGAAATAACGGCATATATATATGGAGGAAAAGGCCAAGAAAACATAAAGGAAAAAAAAAATATATATATATATATATATGTGTGTGTGTGTGAATGGTATTGCATTTTCCCTTGTCCTCCCTCTTCCAAACAAGTGGACTTGCACAAAAGCAGTAAGAACAATTTCATTACCTTGCCCTTGTCTTATCCTTACCCTCCTAAAACGGGTAGACTTCCTCTAAATAGAACCAATCTAACCCAGGCCAACCCAGTTCATGTTAATTCTTATAATTAATTAGTTCAAATCAAATCACTTTTATGTAACAGACGTGCCCTTCTAGTCATATATAAACGAGCCACCTAAGATGAATGAGGATCCTCTTCGGATTCAGGGGTCTTTTAATTATGTCTGTTCATCGTAAATTGTGCGGTTAGTTTTCGTCAGGTACTATTTGTATTCAATTTTAAATAAAAAGTTTAAAATAATTTCTGATCGCACGATTTACGATGAACGGACACGATTAAATAATCTTTAGGATCCTCACAAAGAGGATCCGGAAAGAATCCTCATGGACCTAAGATATCCAGAAAGTTCCTAACTGATGTTTATTATAGCCACATATATATACGTTTTCGTTTCCTAAAGAGGGAAGTAATCATAAGTTTAGTGTGACGTCTAGACCAGAAGCAAGGAGAAAAAATTGTGTAAACTAGTGTGAGCTGACGCATGCAAAACTCAATTACACGCAGCATGATTACTTGGGGACCATATGGATATTACTTTATAATTGTGGACGGAGGAACACCGAAAGTTGAAGATTTGCATGCACTGTCACTTAAACCAAACGTCGACCACAAATGCGTAGATCTCTTATGATCTATTATAAAACAAATAATAATAGTGTTCAATACTAAATCCATTCACGGTACGTAAAAGCTAATCAGAAATGATATCCGATCGAAGTTAGTTGGAGCTGAATTATGAATACATCATAGCAGAAATTTCATAATACATGTTCAGGTACGAAGTCGATGCACCAAATAAAAATTAAGTTGGTGAGTCAAAGCCTACAACAAAATGGCAATTGATCTATTAGTATAAATTCTCCACAAGCAAACCTGCCTTATAGTTATGACAAGTGTATGGTAACCATATTAAGTATAAGAGATGTAGGCCTACTACGATTTAAGTGATAAGTGAAGGAATATTAGTGTACAAATGTCACAATTGTATTGAACATTGTCCATGTCAGCTAAAAGCTGTTGGATTGGCTGAAGTTTGTTAGGAGTCAGTTAGTTTGTTAGTTGGTTGTAACGGCTAATAAGCCTTGGGTTTGCTGCTATATATAGCAGTGTGTAATCTCTCTCTCTCTCAATGAATTGAAAGCTCAACAGTTTATTCTTCTTCTTCTCTCTCTCTACTGCTAAAGTTCTCTCTCTAAAGCTTCAATCTTGATCTCTTCTTCGTCCTTCATCTTTTTATTTTTTTCATCTGTTAATATGGTATCGAGCCAGCAATTTTGTTGTGGTTCGTTGGTTTTTGGGGCTCTCTGATTGGCTTCTAGGATCTCTTCTTGGAGTTTGAAAGCTACGATTTGCATCAATGGCGGTGGGCAATTGGCGGTTGGCAGTTGGCATTTGACGATTTGAGATCTATTTTTTGGAGAATTAAAGCTTCGATCAGGTGATATGGCTCTTATGTTTCTCGATTAATCCATTTCTCAAGTATTTCTCTGTGCTATATGGAATTCTGGTTTCTGGGTTTCTGGTTGTGCTATGATAAAGTAAATCTTGTAGTGTAGTCTATGATTTTTGTGTGTCATTCAATAGTTAAAGTTTGAGGCACGAAGCCATTAGTAGTTAAAGATTTGTGGGCACGAAGCCATTGATTGATAATCTTGAAGTTCTTGTAGTTATTTGGTTGAAGGCAAGAAGCCATTTCTGTGATTTTCTGCTCTTTGTGAAGATTCGTTGGCACGAAGCTGTTTCTGAATATTTCTTGATAGTTTGAGTTTTTCTAGTTGTATAAAGATGGCATCATCATCATCAGTGAAAATAGAAGGGTTGTTGGGAATGTTAACCATAAAGTTAACTGATAAGAACTTTTCTAAGTGGGTTTTTCAATTCAAGTCTGTTATAAAAGGATATAAATTGTTTGATCACTTTGATGGCACTGCTATTTGTCCACCAAAGTTTGTTATACACACTGAGCATGGAGTTACAAGTGAAATTACAAATGCTTATCTTGAATGGGAGTCAACTAATTTGGCATTGTTAAGTTTGCTTATGGCAACATTATCTGATGAATCTAGAAAGCATGTTCTAGGATGTAAAAATGCACATGAGGCATGTATTAGTCTACAAGATAGATATGCTTCCATTTCTAAAGCAAAAGTGAACACACTTAAGAAAGAATTTCAAACTATATAAAAATGGGCTAATTCAATTGACCAATATTTGTCTAGGCTCAAGAATATTAAAGAACAGTTGCTTGCTGCTAGAGAATTTGTGTTAGGCAATGACTTTGTTGTTGCTGCTTTTTCTGGTTTACCAATGGAGTATTCAACCATAAGGATTGTCATACTTACAAAGGATACTTCAATTTCCTTAAGAGAGTTTAGGGAACAGTTGCTCTGTGCAGAAAGAGAATGAGTCTATGGTTAATAGTCTGTTAAACAATTTCTCTTGTTTGTATATGCAAGGATCTGTTAGTTCATCATTGTCATAGGGTTCTGGTATGTCACAAGACTTTGGTATGTTTCAGGGATCTTCAAGTTGTTATGATGGTATACCATTCTCTATTAGTGGTACAATTACAAGAGTTCAAAATGGTATTCCAAGCTTTCGGGTGTCATCTATGCCTTATCCACAGCAAGGTCCATATTCTGCTATTTCAAATGTTGCTCCCCAAGCATATCCTCCTATGCCATTTCCACAATAGGGTTATTCTTCATACTTGGGAAATTAATACATAGATGCTCCACCATTTCCTAAATCATCAATACCAAATTTTTCAAACAACTATGGCTTTGTTGGGCATGCTGGTCCACCAAGGCAATTTCCAAACTCTAATGCTTGGAGTTCGAATATTGGATCTAGATAATATTATGGGCCAAAGTCAAATGGGAATGGAACCTATAAGCCACCAAATGGGAGAGGTCAGACTTTTGGCAACAGACAGTCAACTGGATCGTGGCAGACTTGGGCTGGAAATACATAAGCAAGGACAAACATTGTACCTGAGTATCAAATATGTTCAAAAAGGGGACACACAACACCAAATTGCTGGAAGAGGTCAACTAATCCTAGTTCTATGGGACATGTACTAGAGTGTCAAATTTGTGGAAAAATAGGTCATAGTGCTCTAAACTATCATCATAGAAACAATTTTACATATCAAGGCTCTGCACCTGCTCCTTCCTTAAGTGTTATACAAGCTCAAGCTCCACAGTCTTTTCAAGCACTCCAAACATTTTAAGCATCACATTCTCATCTTCCCAATGATTCTTGGATAATAGATACTGGAGCATCTCATCACATGATAACTGATGTACGTTCACTGCAAAATGTCACACCTTATGAAGGCAATGATAAAATCATTATTGGCAATGGTGAAGGTTTGCCAATTACACATATTGGTTCTGCAAAATTGTGCACTGTACCAAACTCTTTAGTTTTGAGAAGTGTTTTACATGTTCTAACCATTGTTATCAGTTTACTATCAATAAAACAATTGTGTAAATACAATTATTGTTGGTTCATCTGTGATGATACAAATTTTTATGTGCAGGACAAAGTAACCGAGGTTGTAATCTACCAAGGAATGAGTAATGATTGTGAGTTGTTTCGGATACCAACAAAGCTACTTACAAAGGGTCTAGTGTCTTCAGCAAAGGAGTCTATGGGGTTGCTTGGTCCAAAAGTGAAGTCTATATTATGGCATCAAAGGTGTGGTCATCATAGCAATGAAGTACTATTTGCAATGTTGAAGAATTCTGATATAGTTAGTTCTGTTGATGATAAACAACATTTGTGTTCAGCTTGTATTTCTAGAAAAATTTCAAGATTACCATTTGTAGATGGGAAAGAGTCTTCTGTTTTTCCTTTTCAAAAGACTCATTATGATCTTTGGGGTCCTTCACGTACAAAGTTGATAGAAGGTTACAAATACTATGTGAGTTTTGTTGATGATTTTACCAGTTATATATGGATATACCCATTGATCAATAAATCAGAAGTTTTTAATGTTTTTCAGAAATTTTATAATCTTGTTCTTACTTTGTTTGGTACTAGTATTAAATGCCTGCAAACAGATGATGGGGGAGAATATGTTAGTCACAGATTTGATCAATTTCTCAAAAATAAAGGCATTGTACATATGGTATCATGTCCATATACCCCTCAACAAAATGGAATTGTGAAAACTGCAATATGTTAGCATAGACACATTGTGAAAACTACAATAACATTGCCTCAAGAGCTATGGTTTCATGCATGTGCTCATTATGTTTTCCTCATAAATAGAATGCCATGTAAGGTTTTAAGAATGTAGTCACCCTATCAACAACTATTTGGATGTAAACCACAATTGTAGGGTCTAAAAGTCTTTGGTATTGCAGTGTATCCATATATTAGACCTTATACAGAAAACAAGTTACAACCAAGAGTTTCCTTGTGTGTATTTATTGGATATGCTATAGGTTACAAGGGAGTAGTGTGTTATCACATACCATCTCACAAATTCATTATTTCTCGACATGTAATACATGATGAAGATATATTTCCATACAAGACTCCAATATCTAGTTCCAGAAATTGATAGGAGCATATTTAGGCGACTTACTTAGCTTGTTTTCGTGCATCTATGTTGTTAATTCATAGTTGTTTTAGTAGTTTAAGCCATTTTCATGTGTTTTTAGGTTCATATGGCTAAGGAAGCAAAAAGATGCATTTTGGAGCATTTTGGAGCAAAATTGGGCTTGGAATGGATAGCATATGATTGGAGCCAAAGTGTTGGACGAATTTGAAGGCCTTGTATTCATTTTGGACATAAAACAAAGGGCCTAGCCCATTCTCTCTTAAACCAACCCCAAGGCCATGCATTTCCTTCCAATTCCAAAGCCCACAATCACTTCAAAAGCCATGCAAAGAACCATCCATTCCATCAAAAACAATCCATCAATTCACATGCAAAACCACCATTAACACACATGCACCCAAACAAAGCCAACCTAGCTAACCCTACATGCATTCTTTATGCAACTCTTCATCATTCCACCATTCATTCTTTATTCCACAAACAAGTCACATGCATTTCCACCTTCCTACTTCATCATTTCACCACATTCTCCCTCTTTAACTCATTTCATTATTCATTCACTTTGCATTCATTCAATTCCACCCCACATGCACCCTTTATTCTTCATCATTGCAACCATGGCACATTTACACCAACAAAACAACTCCCATGCCATGGCCTACTCATATTCCCATTTCCTTTCCAACATCTCACATGCATTTCCACCTTCCTACTTCATCATTTCACCACATTTTCCCTTTTATTTCCACATGCAATTCTTCATCATTGCAACCACAAACACCTTAAACAAATAGCCATATACATCTCCACTTCTCCTATAAATACCCTTGCATTCATTCATTCAAAAATCATCTCATTCACAACACAACACTCCTCAAAATCATCCATTCTCCTCCCTAGCCGTGAGTCTCCCTTAGAATCCAAAAACCATTCTTCCATTTCCCCTCCATTTCATCCATTTCCATAATCCCCCAATCCATTCAACACACCAACAACATCCCTTAGTCCTTGTGCCACAATAAAGAGGAAGATAAGAGGGCCTAAACGTTCATACAATTCAAGATTGAGTTGTTGGAATGTTTAGGCGTTTCTTTGATTTCAATGTTTAATTTCAATTCTCTTTGTTTTGTACGAATAAGGAATGGAAGAGAAGAGGGCCTAAACGTTCATACAATTCAAGTTTGAGTTGTTGGAATGTTTAGGTGTTTCTTTGATTCTCTTTGTTTTGTAAGTATGAGGAACTAAACCCCCCTTGGCTAGGGGGTGATTCGAAATATATGTTTATGCTTGCAATATGATTTGAGTACTTCTAATTACGTTTCATAAGTTGTGAATTCAATTTGTTTAACTATTTGATTGATAACCTATTTATGTATGTTTATTAAGAATGAACGCTTAATTTTCATGCATGAATTTGACGCTAGAATATAAGTGAGTTTCACATAATTGTCACACACTTATATTCACAAGTAGTGAAGGTTGCTAGTCACAATCGCGTTAAGTTCAATTCTTAGCATAAGTGTCATGATGTCATAGTCACAAGTGCTTTGTCAATGCTTATAGTTTTCATTGAACGTAATGATCTTTGATTGTATCTTTATTATGATGTCATGTAAGGAACTTTTGAAGAATGCTTTGGGTTGTCGTATGCAATCATCCAATTCATTAACTTAAGGAAAACTTGACGGTTAATTTAAGCGGACCTAATTAACCCGGAGCGTTGAGAATTCATAGTTTATTGAAAAGCAATTAGAAATCGTTTTGTATGCAAGTATAACATGTGTGGAGATGAACCCCTTAGCTAGCTTCCCATCCATTCATTTCCGTCAAATCCATATTTACAATTTGTTTTGTTTCCAAGTATCCATTTTAGTTTAAATTCGTCCAAATCCAATTCCCCCCTATTTCGTTGAAGTCTTAGTCTTAATCTTTCTTATTTTTAGTTTTGCTTTCTTCAAGCATTAAATAGTGTTTTATATTGTGTTTTTACGTTTTTAAGTCAAATCCAAGTGATTAACAATCCCTCCTAATCCCCGGTCCAGAACGATCCCTACTTATACACTTCACTACAATTGACAAAAAGAGGGTTTAATTTGTGTGCGCATAAATATTCGCATCAAATTTTGGCGCCGTTGCCGGGGATTAGCAACTTTGCTAATCCCTTGGATTGTTTTATTTTCGTTTGTTTTTATTTTTCCAGATTCTTAAATTTGTTTTGTTTCTTGTTTTAGGTACTAGTTCATGACTCGGAGTTCTCATCCGATTCGTGAAAATATCCTAGAGTGATTGGGTTCTTCGTCCGGCTGCAAGACGTAAAAGAAAGCGCTACTTGGGAGGCAACCCAATACAGTAAATAAAACAAAGCTTGTTCATTGATTTTTTCGATAAATTACAATTGTATCTAAACATGGCAGAAAGATGGAGCCTTTACAAAGGTTGTGTACGTGAGGCCTCACTACGTGGCAACACTCTCGGAGCAAGAGGCATCGGAGCAGGAGGCATCGGAGCAGGAGGCATCGGAGCAAGAGGCATCGGAGCAGGAGGCATAGGAGCGGGAGGCACCGAAGATAGATCATTCAAGGCCCCAAACCTTGGTGGAACGCTGGATGACCCAGGAAAGAGGTGCCTCTGGAAGAAAGCTGCAAACCGTTGACGGTCATCAAGCTCATCAAGCTTCCTCTTCATGCCTGTTGAATAATTGTTGGCAAGCACGTGCAAACTTCGGTTCTCGTACTTAAGCTGTTTGATCTCCTGCTTAAGACTCTCCACCTCCGCCATCAAGGATTCAACCTGACGGGAGCGAGCAAGAAGGCGTTGGCCCATGTTGGACACAGAGCCAGCGCACTGAACACTCAGAGCCAGGGATTCTTGAACGGCCAACTCATCGGACCGTCCTGAAAGCAGCTGACTGTCTTTGGGAGTGAGGAGGTTCCGAGCCACTATTGTAGCCGTTGTGGGATCCGACATCACGGAGTCCTCATCTGTAAGAGGGCCATGGGAAGATAAGAAAGACGGGCACCATACCTTACCCTGACGAGACGCGACCGGGTCACTGCTTAGACTCAAATCTAAGCAAATGTTCGATGGGTTGGATGAGCTAGCCATTGTTCAAGAAGTTAAAAGAAAAGGGTTGGATGGAGGAAATCTCGACGAGCCGAAGATGATTTTTGGGAAGTCTTCAAAGTGTGCAGATAGAGGTGATCGATCACCTCTATTAAAGGATAGGCGACACAATCACCAATTCAGCATTGAAGAGACACCGCTCTTCAAAAAACCGGATTTTCTGGCGTAAAGATCGCCAGCTCTTCAGACGCAATCCAAGCTTTTCAGAAAGCGTGTGCAAATTTGTCAAAAGCTCCCAGCTTTTCAGAAGACGCGTGGAAGGCGAGAAATCAGCTGCACACTTTAGCCGACAAACGTGGGTGACAAAGCCGAAAGCTCCCGGCTTTCCAGAAAGCGAGTGCAACTTTGTCAAAAGCTCCCGGCTTTTCAGAAGACGCGTGCCACTTTGTCAAAAGCTCCCGGCTTTTCAGAAGACGCGTGGAAGACATTGCCGCATCCGTACTGCCATTTGCCATTACAATTCCTATATACATCAACATTCATGGCAAGGCATACACCCAGAAGCGCATAACTTTCCTTCTCGGCCGAAAATGTAAGCTGCAACCAACCCTCTCAAACATGCTCAGATTTCTCCTTCTCTTGAGAACACACTTTCAAACATGGATGTATCCCCCAAAGAAGATACCAAATGCCTGCAGTACGAATGAGGAAGAGGAAACGGTGGATCGAAACATGTGGATTCATTCGCTGCCTCTTCGAAAGCAAAGGTATCTCATATCATCAAGGGCGAAAGCAAAGGTACCTCATATCATGTTCTTTCCCTGTCTTTTCCTTTGTCCTTGATATTACTTGCATGGCAAAATGAAAGAAGCAATCAGCCGGCACTTGGAGTCTATCTGGACTCTATTCCCTGGTTGCTTACCTAGCTTTGCTGAGCTATCCTCTAACCCTCTTCAATACGAATTGGAGAGATTGAACAAAGAAACAGATAAGAGGAGGAAGCTCAGACCTTCGGGGGAGACCAAAGGAAGCCTGTTGCCCAGTTCAAGAGTAGCACAAAGGAAAATCAACGATGGGAGCAGTGCAGTTCAAGAGTAAGCCTGTGGAATCACAAAGATCCAAGCCTCACTGCAATCACCAAGGAGAAGATGGAACGAACACTCCATAACCAGATTTGCATCTCTAAACTCTTCTCTTTGTTAGATACATTCTGCCATGTTTAGTATGTTTAATTGCTGTTTATATGTTTGTTTGTGTTTAGTGTGGTTTTTAACATTGAGGACAATGTTTGATTTAAGTGTGGGGGAGTTACTAAAGTGTTTTGATGCAAATTCGTAGGGTTTTATCCACCATAACTTCAAATGTTGTTT